CGGGGCCGTGTGCGCGCTGGGCCGCCTGCAGAAGCTGTACGTGAGCGGCACGGGGCTGCGCGAGCTGCCCGAGGAGATCGAGGAGCTGCGCGAGCTGCGCATCCTGGCGCTCGACTTCAACAAGCTGGAGCGCCTGCCCGACGGCCTGTGCCGCCTGCCGCGCCTCACGCGCCTCTACCTGGGCGGCAACCGGCTGCTGGCGCTGCCCGCCGACTTCGCGCAGCTGCAGAGCCTGCGCTGCCTCTGGATCGAGGGCAACTTCCTGCGGCGCTTCCCGCGGCCGCTGCTGCGCCTGGCGGCGCTGCAGTCGCTGCAGATGGGCGACAACCGGCTGCGCGCGCTGCCCGCCGAGCTGCCGCGCATGACCGGCCTGCGCGGCCTCTGGCTCTACGGCAACCGCTTCGAGGAGTTCCCGCCCGCCCTGCTGCGCATGGGCCGCCTGCACATCCTCGACCTCGACCGCAACCGCCTGGGCGGCTTCCCCGACCTGCACCCGCTGCGCGCCCTGCGCGTCTTCTCCTACGACCACAACCCGGTCACCGGGCCCCCGCGCGTCGCCGACACCGTCTTCCTCGTGGGCGAGGGCGCCGTCGAACGCATGGCCGAGCGGGATGAACCGACGCCCCGGCCGCCGCCGCGCCGCCCGGCTCGGGCCTTCGAGGATGAGGAGGAGGAAGATCTACTCATCGGGGGCGCCGCCCCCCGGGCCCTGGAGCCCCCCGGGGACAGCCTTCGCGCCCTGGAAGGTGCTCCGGGGATGGGCACCTGAGCTTCCGCCCTGGGCCACGGGGCTAAGGGCCACTCTGGGAGACTCTGGCTGCAGGGCTCCTACTCGGGAGGGCGGGCAGTGGCAGACAAAGCTGCTTTGGGCAGGTTGTCAGGTGCAGGCAGGCCTAGATCCATCCCCGGGTCGTCCTGGGTAGTTAGACCGCCCCCCTCTCCGTCGGTGGGCAGTCTTCAGGCCAAGAAGTCTGGGCTCTAGGATAGGTGCCACTGACGCTGGCTCAGGAGGTGCCAGATCTGCCCGTGGAGGCAGACGTTGTGGAGGGCCTGGCTTGGGGCAAGAGGTGGGAGTTGGAGCCTGGGCCTAGGACAGAAGCCGCTCTATCCCCTCTGCTGGGTCTCATTCTGAGACCACACCGCCCT